GAATTCCAAATAATACCCGTAGATACTCTGGACTCCAGGAGGTGGAGCATACCCATCCCCTTTGAGTGTGGGCTGGACTTAGTGACTCAACTCCAGTACATACTGTATGGAAAGGGAAAAAGGGAGCCTTACAGTGGAGAAACGGCAAACCGCAGCTTAACCAGGCGATCAAGGTTAACATCATCAGTGCTGCCATGTGGATGCACATGCCTCCTAAGATGTAATCAAGGTACACTTAACCTCTGTGGTATTCTTTCCAAATATCCATAATCCAGTCGAATCATGAGAAAACAGGCAAACCCAAACTGAGGGACAGTCTATGAAATGCTTGACCAATACTCGAAACTATCAAGGTCATAAAAAGGAAATGCTGAGAATTTGTCGTAGATCAATGGAGGCTAAGGAGACATGACAACTAAATGTGATGTAATATCCTGGACTGGATTCTGAAACAGAAAAAGGACGTTCATGGAAAAACTGGTGAAATCTGAATAAAGTCTGGAGTTAATTGTTTGTTTTAAGCCTAGAAATAAATCCTCACATATATAGTCAAATGCTTTTTTTGTTTTGTTTTGGGGTGGGGTGGGGGTTGGGACACAGTCTTGCTCTGTTACCCAAGGCTGGAGTGCAGTGGAGCGATCTCGGCTCACTGCAACCTCTGCCTCCCAGGTTCTAGCAATCTACTGCCTTAGCCTCCCGAGTAGCTGGGACTACAGGCATGCATCACCATGCCTGGCTAAATTTTTTTGTATTTTTAGTAGAGACAGGGTTTCACCATGTGGCCAGGCCAACATGGTCTTGAACTCCTGGCCTCAAGTGATCCACCCGCCTCTGTCTCCCAAAGTGCTGGGATTACAGGTGTGAGCCACTGCACTCGGCCATCAGATGCTTTTTGACAACAGTGCCAAAAACAGTGCCAAGACCATTCATTGGGGAAAGGACAGTCTTTTCAGCAAATGGTGTTGGGGAAACTGGACATCCACATGCAAAATAATGAAGTTGGACCCTTACCTTACACCCTATACAAAAATGAACTCAAAGGATCAAAGACCTAAAGAAAGAGAAAAGCTAAAACTTACAGTTTTATAAACACTTAAAAGAAAACATGGGGGAAAATACATGACATTAGATTTGGCAATGATTTCTTGGATATGGCACCAAGGGCACAGGCAACAAAGGAAAAATAGATTAAACTGGATTTCATCAAAATTAAAAACTGCATAAAAGGGCACAATTAACGAGTAAAAAGGTAGCCTATGGAATGGCAGAAAATATTTGCAAATCATATATCTCACAATGGGTTAATATTCAGTGGTGTGGCCTTTTTTTGGGTTTTTTTTTTTTGGATGGAGTCTCTCTGTTGCCCAGGCTGGAGTAGAGTGGTGCGATCTTGGCTCACTGCGACCTCCGTCTCCCTGGTTCAAGCAATTCTCTTGCCTCAGCCTCCCAAGTGGCTGGGACTACAGGAACGTGCTACCACATCTGGTGAATTTTGTATATTTATGGAAGTTCAATGTGCATGGTTGAATCCGATCTCATATTGCCACCTGCTCCAAGGCTGGATACAGGTGAGCCACTGCCTCCCATCAGATCTTTACACAGTGCAAAAACATGCAAGACATCATGGGAAGACATTTTCAAATGGTGGAAACTGGAATCACATGCAAAATAATAAGTGGACCTACTACACCTATACAAAATGAACAAACGATCAAGACTAAAGAAAGAAAAGCTAAACTTACAGTTTTATAAACACTTAAAGAAAACATGGGGAAAATACATGACATTAGATTGCAATGATTCTTGGATATGGCACCAAGGCATAGGCAACAAAGGAAAAATAGATTAAACTGGATTCATCAAAATTAAAACTGCATAAAGGCACAATTAACGAGTAAAAGTAACCTATGGAATGGCAGAAATATTTGCAAATCATATCTCACAATGGGTTATATTCAGTGGTGGCCTTTTTTGGTTTTTTTTTTGGATGGAGTCTCTCTGTTGCCCAGGCTGGAGTAGAGTGGTGCGATCTTGGCTCACTGCGACCTCCGTCTCCCTGGTTCAAGCAATTCTCTTGCCTCAGCCTCCCAAGTGGCTGGGACTACAGGAACGTGCCACCACATCTGGTGAATTTTTGTATATTTAGTGGAGACAGGGTTTCACCATGTTGGCCAGGCTGGTCTTGAATTCCCGATCTCATGTGATCTGCCCACCTGGGCCTCCCAAAGTGCTGGGATTACAGGCGTGAGCCACAGTGCCCGGTGTAATTCTGTGTGTTTTTACCAGCAGAGCATACATTGAGTACGTGCAAACAATTGCGAAGGAAAATTAGAGCACATATATCTACAGAAGCGCACTCAGAAAGGGGACCCTGTTGCTTCTAAAGTGAAAGAGTATTATTTGGATTTGTAACCAAAAGATACTTTTGTAATTTTTAAAATGAAAACTGTAACTATCAATGAAGTGAAAGTGAAATGAAGTGGAGTTGACAGGTGTCTATGCTACAAGGCAGAGCCTGCCCTATCTTAGTCACCACCTGCCTCCTACAGGGCTGGAGTCAGTGTGAGGCTTAGAAACAGCATGACGGCCCTGCTGTATTGGTGGCTTCTCTTTTATTTTATTTTTATTTATTTTTTATTATTATTATACTTTAAGTTCTAGGGTACATGTGCATAACGTGCAGGTTTGTTACATATGTATACTTGTGCCATGTTGCTGTGCTGCACCCATCAACTCATCAGCACCCATCAATTCGTCATTTACATCAGGTATAACTCCCAATGCAATCCCTCCCCCATCCCCCCTCCCCATGATAGGCCCCGGTGTGTGATGTTCCCCTTCCCGAGTCCAAGTGATCTCATTGTTCAGTTCCCACCTATGAGTGAGAACATGCGGTGTTTGGTTTTCTGTTCTTGTGACAGTTTGCTAAGAATGATGGTTTCCAGCTGCATCCATGTCCCTACAAAGGACACAAACTCATCCTTTTTTATGGCTGCATAGTATTCCATGGTGTATATGTGCCACATTTCTTAATCCAGTCTGTCACTGATGGACATTTGGGTTGATTCCAAGTCTTTGCTATTGTGAATAGTGCCGCAATAAACATACGTGTGCATGTGTCTTTATAGCAGCATGATTTATAATCCTTTGGGTATATACCCAGTAATGGGATGGCTGGGTCATATGGTACATCTAGTTCTAGATCCTTGAGGAATCGCCATACTGTTTTCCATAATGGTTGAACTAGTTTACAATCCCACCAACAGTGTAAAAGTGTTCCTATTTCTCCACATCCTCTCCAGCACCTGTTGTTTCCTGACTTTTTAATGATCGCCATTCTAACTGGTGTGAGATGGTATCTCATTGTGGTTTTGATTTGCATTTCTCTGATGGCCAGTGATGATGAGCATTTTTTCATGTGTCTGTTGGCTGTATGAATGTCTTCTTTTGAGAAATGTCTGTTCATATCCTTTGCCCACTTTTTGATGGGGTTGTTTGTTTTTTCTTGTAAATTTGTTGAGTTCTTTGTAGGTTCTGGATATTAGCCCTTTGTCAGATGAGTAGATTGCAAAAATTTTCTCCCATTCTGTAGGTTGCCTGTTCACTCTGATGGTAGTTTCTTTTGCTGTGCAGAAGCTCTTTAGTTTAATGAGATCCCATTTGTCAATTTTGGCTTTTGCTGCCATTGCTTTTGGTGTTTTAGACATGAAGTCTTTGCCCATGCCTATGTCCTGAATGGTACTACCTAGGTTTTCCTCTAGGGTTTTTATGGTATTAGGTCTAACATTTAAGTCTCTAATCCATCTTGAATTAATTTTTGTATAAGGAGTAAGGAAAGGATCCAGTTTCAGCTTTCTACTTATGGCTAGCCAATTTTCCCAGCACCATTTATTAAATAGGGAATCCTTTCCCCATTTCTTGTTTCTCTCAGGTTTGTCAAAGATCAGATGGCTGTAGATGTGTGGTATTATTTCTGAGGACTCTGTTCTGTTCCATTGGTCTATATCTCTGTTTTGGTACCAGTACCAGCTGTTTTGGTTACTGTAGCCTTGTAGTATAGTTTGAAGTCAGGTAGGTGATGCCTCCAGCTTTGTTCTTTTGACTTAGGATTGTCTTGGAGATGCGGGCTCTTTTTTGGTTCCATATGAACTTTAAAGCAGTTTTTTCCAATTCTGTGAAGAAACTCATTGGTAGCTTGATGGGGATGGCATTGAATCTATAAATAACCTTGGGCAGTATGGCCATTTTCACGATATTGATTCTTCCTATCCATGAGCATGGTATGTTCTTCCATTTGTTTGTGTCCTCTTTTATTTCACTGAGCAGTGGTTTGTAGTTCTCCTTGAAGAGGTCCTTTACATCCCTTGTAAGCTGGATTCCTAGGTATTTTATTCTCTTTGAAGCAATTGTGAATGGAAGTTCATTCATGATTTGGCTCTCTGTTTGTCTGTTACTGGTGTATAAGAATGCTTGTGATTTTTGCACATTAATTTTGTATCCTGTGGTGGCTCCTCTTTGAAAGGATAATGAATCCACTTATAGAAACATTTGGGCCAATTTATACACAATTGAAATATTCACACTAATCATTAAGTGAGAGCATGGTGTTTGTAAGAAAAGTGTTTTCAACAGCACGTGATAACATATCCATTTTTGTTTTAACAGAAAATGCCCCCATCCCATTTTATAAAAAATATCCATGAATTGCATAATTAACAAAGACTGATTCATCACTTCTTTCATGTATCTAGTTTAAAAATTTCTCAGAATCCTGTATCTTCCTCTGGTGAATTCCCTAAGTTAATTCAGCCAGATAGGTATCTTGGTCTCTTCAAAAAGATTTTGTTAAATCTATCTTCTCTATATCCAGTATTAATTTTTAAATATAAATTAAATGCTATTAATTGATATAAATTTATATTAAACTTTAAATTTGTATAACCTATTCTTACAATGTGCTCATATCAATCAATACCTCTTTCTATACATGGATATGGTTGTGAAACTTACATTTTATATTTATTTTTTTTAAAGGTTAGAGAAAGAGGGACCAATTAACTTCATCTTTTCCTAAACTTGAGAAGAGACAAACCAAGTCCTGCCCTTCATCTCCAATGTTTGGAAGATCAGAGGTTCCTGTCAATTAAGTCGTCCTTTCTTCATAACTATTGCAAAAGAAATCATCAGAAATCGCTGAATAGGTCAATTAAAACCATTTTTATCAAACATATTCATTCACAACATGTATTGTTATAGTTAAAAACTGGTTGAGAAAGTTTACTTGTAATTATTACGCACTTTGATATCTGTTGATTATTTCTGGAGCAAAGGCAGCCTTATTCATTAGGTGCCTTTAGCTAATTTTTCCTGCTATTCTTGCTGGATACTTTAGAAATGAGAAGGGGTGAGCTGTAAGATAAATGAGTGTGACTAAGGGAAATAGAAGCCTGACTTTATCAAGGGCTGAGCTCCGGGAGGCAGGAAGAGTTCAGAGCATTGGGCCAGGGCTCATCTGGTGGGTTCAAGCACATAGCCTCAACTCCCTTGCAGGAACATGGGTCCGTGTGTGGTTCACTCTGAAGCATCTGTCTTCCTGTGAAAGAGCTCGGGAGTGGTGAATGGATACCGCGCCCAACTTCTGCAGGCTGCCCTCCCCTCTGGATACCAAGCCCACCCATGGCAATCCCTTCAAGGCATGACTCTCATGATAATAAGAAGTGTGATAATGTGAAAAGGAATTTTCAGAGAAACTGAGTCAAGGACTGGTGGTGGTGAAACTTCTTGCTTTCTTGGAAAGCAAGAGAAGGTGCTAGCTATGCCTTCTGCTCTCTGACATTTCCACCGTCCCCCACCCATCTAGCAATGGCTACCCTAGAAAAACCTGTTTCCTACCCTTTGGTGTGGGCTGAGTATAGAAAGAGGAGGCTTCTCTCCAGAACTTTGCCAGGAGTTTGGCAAAGTTGGTTTGGCCTTTGCCACACCGTCCTCAATCCACCCTGCTTACACTGCCCCTGAGAAAGTCTAGTTCTCACCTGGCAGTGTCACTTCCTCCTTTGCTGTGTTCCAAGATGTAGCCTTCATTTGTGGACTAGGAAGGGGTGGAAAGGCCCAATTGCAGGGCGATTATTATTATTGTCAACTCTCCCTTGAAGAAGTTGTATCCGTTTTACTTTCTCACATGCACTCCTGCCTGGGCTGCAGGAATCCTAGAAATTTTGCTCTCCGCTATAGTAACTCCCATGAGTTCTGATCCCACACTTTTCCTTCAAATGCTAACTGGAGGCAGATTTTTAGATGGAGAAACCAGAGACAAGAGAATCAGCAGGAGTCCAGGTGATGATCAGGAACCCGGGACCCTGATCCTGACTGCTCTGACCAGGCTGCTCATTTCACCGGTGGGGAGCTGGAACCTGAAACCTGCTCATTCTAAAAAACAACCCCAGTCTTCTCTCAACTTCTGGCTGTGCCCATGTCCTCTGAGGAAGGCCGTGGAATGCCTTCTGACATGCTCTCGGAGGGAGAGCTGAGGATCTGAAGCCAGCAACTCACCAGGGAGATGGTGGAGCTGGGGGCTTGGGCACGGCAGAAGCGTTTGCGCAAAGCTTCTTGTACCTGTGGGAGAGGTAAATGCTCCACTTATGCCAGCCACAGCCCCGGCCTGTGGGCTGCAAGTGAGGCAGGGGGTTAGGTGGGCAGACTCACCTTCTTGTCCATGAGGCAACCAAACAATAGGATGAAGACACCCTGAGAAGAGGGACATGGGGATAAGCTGGTCAAGGAGGAAGGGATCTACCCGAATCAACGTGCTCCTTCTGTCCTGTGTAATTCACATGCAAAGGCTTCTCGTCTCAATTTTTGTTACCACCATTTGGTGCATAGGATCTATTTCAGATGCTTTTCTTATTGTTATCGTTATAAAAGGGATAGTAAAGGATTGGGTACTGATAATTTCCTGAGTTCTCCAACAAAATCAGCTATTATTTTACAGATAAGAAAACCAAAGCTCAGAGAGGTTATATAATTTGTCTGAAGTTATCCAGCTACTCAGTGGAGGAACTGGGATCCACTCCTAAGCCTTCCAAAATTCCTGAACCTATGTTTCTTCTGCTACGCCTTGATACCTCCTAGAGAAGAGATCGGCAGTGACTTAGACCATCTAAAAGGGCAAAAAGCACAGCCACCCCCTATCACCTACCTGGAGGGTGTTGAGAATGGTGAAGATGTAATGAGGGACCACGGAGACTTCCTCTAACAGAGTGGCCAGGCCCAGCCCCCAGGTGAGGCCAAAGATGGGTGTGAGAATGAGCAGGGCTTTGATCACCCCCAGCAGAGCTTGGCGCTTCTCCGCTGGGGGTCCCTCTGACAGCGAAGGTCTCAGCAACTTCAGCATGGCCATGGCTAGTACCAGCCCATTCACACCTACAATAGCCAGCACTGGCCCCACGAAGGTGTATAACGCCCCTCCCTTCCCATCCAACCAGCATTCCCCCTCCCTCAGGTATTGCCCTTGAGGTAGGTAGAGCCCCAGGGTGACACCCGCCAACCCCAGTGGGCACAGGTAGCCCAGAAGCACCATCAGGGGGAGAACTCGGTGCTTCGGCAGCTGGTGAAAGACAAAGAGCAGCTGGTGGGCCAACACCAGGGCCTGCGCCAGCATCCAGAAAAAGGTGGCCAGGTAGAGGAAATGACAGAGGAAGGTGGCAGCCAGGCAGAGCGGGCTTCGGGGCCCTGGAGGGAGGAAGGGGGCGCCTAGGAAGCAAGTGTCTGCGGCCAGCAAGCAGAGCACCATGTTGAGCAGGGCGGCGTGGCGGAAATAGGAGACCTTGTTCCGCACCACGACTCTCCAGACCAGCCTGTACACACCCAGGCACACAAGCAGCGCCAGTATGGAAGCTCCCAAGCCCACTTGAGTCAGCAGCGCCAGAGCGGGTTCTTCCGGAACAGTGTGTGGGGACATGAGGACGGAGAAGGCAGTGAGGTGCTGGCAGAGGCACCGAGCAGTGGGACTGCCACTGGCCGCCTGTGCCTGGCACCCTTCTTTGGACCAACCCCCCCTGCCCTGGAAGAGGCTGTGATCCCAGAAGACACAGTGAGGGGAACCATCCGTGTTCCCAAAATCCATGATGACCTCGCCCTGGCTGAAGGCCTGGTCGCCTGCCATGATGGAAATGACAAGGACCAGGCCAGGAGTGGCATAGAGGGAATCCCCCAGCCCTTGTCCATAGTTTGAAGGCAGAAGGTGGTCCAGTTTTTGCAACACCAGGCTAGTAATACTTATTTCAGTTCCATTACGGACCAGTGGGGCCAGTGAGTGCCTGGGAATCTGAGCCTGCAGTGGGGGCCGAGTAGGGAAGGAGATGCTGTAGTCAGCAGGAAACGTGGGTCCAAACAGCTGGCTCTGCAGCAGCACATTGGGCAAGCTGAAGGTGAAGGGGTGGTCCTGTGGGCACAGGCTGCATGCCAGGGTCTCCACAGCCAGCAGGAGAGTTGAGCCTGCCCAGGGCTTCCGGGCTTGGGCCAGGGTCCACAGAGACCTGGTGTCCATATCTAGGACCTTGTCTGTGGCAATCAGGAGATTCTGCAGCACCCAACAGAAAGATGAGCCCCGTCTGCTGGTGCCCACAGGACTGAGCCGGGGGCAGTGAGAACTACAGCCCCACACCTTCCCTTCCCAGTCCAGGGTGTGACCCAAGGTTGGAGAGAAAAGGGAGAGGAAGACAGGCCTGTGAAGGGAGACTTTCTAGACGGGAAGAACGGGGAGCTGTTCGGCCAACCACCTTGGGGCATCTTTAAGGATATGTCCCCTGACCTGCACCCAGTCCCTCTGCTGAAAAGCCTTCTTCCCCCTCCATCCCTTGGGGCCACCCAGGTTCTCAGAAGGGACTTCTCCCATTCTTTGGCACCTCCAGGTCTGCAAAGCTAGGAATGGTGACCAGCAGTGATAGAGGGCACCGTGTCCTGGAGGTGACGGCCACACGCATGTCTGTGCATTCACATATGCTATGTATTCCCAGGCATGAACGGTGTGTAATGTCATTGCCCTTTGTTACACTTTTGGCTGCAGCTCATGGGTCACCAATGGATGCCCATACTGAGAGCCGATTTAGGTGAGCCCGGCAAAGCCAAGCACACTTTAGCGTCTTCATGGAAACTTCCTGTCTGTGTCATAGCCACACGCCTGCTTGCGCACACACGCCTCGGGCCTCCTGTCTCCACACCCTTTCCTGCCTCCAGCCCCCATGTGCTCCCAGCGCCAGGCCTTCTCCATTCTGCAGCCTCAGAGGCTGGTGTCTGAGAGAAGAAATGGACCAGGAGCAGGACCCCGGACTCTGGAAAGGTCTGCTGCCTGACAGCCCATGGTGATGTCAGAGGGACAGAAGTGCCCACAGATGGGGAGTCTTCACCCCCTGACTGCCCAGCTGGCAACCACTGTGGCTCAGAGATCTCACCTTCAGGGCGCTGCAGTCAAGCTGTATTCTGGCCTTTGCCACCGCCTTGGCCAGGTATTTCATGGTGCTCAGCAGGGTCAGTAAGTCGGAGGGTGAACTTGCCTCTGCCGCCTGCCCTGGCAGCTGTGACAGGATCTGTGGTACCTCCTCAGCAGGACTGCCCTGGCCTGCCTGCAGCAGCTGAGACAGACAAGACAGCAGGAAGCGGGACACGTAGTAGAATGATGGTTTGAGAAGAGCATCCCAGCCCCATGGAGATTGCGGGCCCCCTTGAGCCCTCCCACACCTACTTCCTGGCTCTGCTAGGGCTCCAGTTCACAGAAGCTGAGCAGCTTGTGGGTTGGGCCTCGGGGAAGAGGGTCTGCAAGCTGGGTCCTAGAGAGGCTGGGGTGGGCTGTGGAGGGGCATGTGGGCAGCAGGGTGGAAGCTTCACCTTGGCTCTAGTGAACAAGGCCAGGAGCCTCGCATCTGTGCAGCTGCTGTGGACAGGCCCCCAGACTCCGTCAGCTGCACAAAACCTCCTCACTATGCCCCTCTTGCTCTCAGGACATGGGGCCTGTGCCACGTGGCCAGCCTTGGTGACATTCCAGGTAAGCACTGAGGTGTCCTCAGGGCAGGTGATGTCCCCATCTGAAGAATGACAAGCAGGGGGTACTCAGCAATCACAGCCTCACCGGAGCCTCTTCTTGGGCAGAAGCATGTGCGGGCCCCGAAGCCTGGTCCTGTTGCCCAGGGCAGGGATGCGCCATGCAAGAGAGCCCACGCTCCCAAGGCAAGCAGCTGAGACCCGCCCACTGGACCCCAAGCCCTACGTACCCTGGATGATGGTGATGGAGATGGGGACCCTGAGTGGAGCCAGGCCAGGGCTCTGCAGGTCACAAGTGTACACGGAGTCAGTCATTGGGCAGTGCTGAACAGCCAACACAAAGCACTGAGAGCCTGACTCGTTGAAGGAGGAGGCTGAGGGCAAAACGAAAGAAGGGAACTGTCATTGGGCCAGGGACAGGCCTGGAACCCAGCAGGCTCTGACATGCTGTTTCAGTCTTTCTAGCAATTCAGAAACAGAGGAAGCTGTGGGGAAGAGCCAAATGATGTGTGGGCTCCACTTGGGCAGAGGAAGAGAGCTTGGATTTTGCTGGAGGGGACTGTGGGGTCTCTAACAAGCTCTAGGACTCAGTTTCCACCATTTCCACATTTGTAAAATGGGGACTATCATCAAATGAATTCCATAGAGTTAAATGAGATTGTGTAGATAACAGCATTTTGCAAAAGTTTCCTCTACACATGCGGTTATGTTATGGCAATAGACGTGGCAAGGCTCTGATGGGGTAGAAAGCAGTGTGGGCTTTGGACCCCACTCTCTGGTTGAACTGTGGCCTCTGTTTCTCATGAGCTAAAGACTCAGTTGCCTGGAGGAGACTAGCTGCCCCCTGGTCCCTCTGACCCCTGACTGCTGGCCCCTTCTCATACCTTTGCTGCCCTCTCCAGGGCTCCAGGTCACGGTGTAGGCCAGGTTTGTGCTGGGGATGCAGCAGCTCAGCTGGAAGCCAGGGGAGGTGGCACAGGAGATGGACAGCTGGTCTGGAAGTCGAGCCACATCTGTCGCCTTCAAGGGCACCCTCACCACCTCGTGCAGGTTCCACTTGAAGCCCTGGGCCTCAAAGCAGCTCATGTACTCACCTGCAGACACGTGTCTGCTGCGCTATGTGGCTCCTCTGGGCCCTGCTGCACCACAGAATCGCTGCTACTTTCCAAGCCACAGCCTTGCTCCCGTCCTCTGCCTGCCACCCAGTGCTTAACCCCAGCAAGCAAGGTCCCAGGATGGCCCCTTTGGTGGGTGTTCCCTGTCCCCAAGAAGGATTTCTAGGAGGTAGAAGAGATCTCTTTTTATCAGCCCATGCCCATGAATTTCATGCTCTCCCTAGAGCAGATGCCCTTCCTGCACCACCCCTGCCATTTTAGCATCTTGAAAAGCATGGATCTGTTCTCAGCAGACACTGACACTATATCCTCCGCATTCTCCACATTGTAGTATTTTTGTTAACAGAAGCATTTTTATGAAAAGTAACTACATTTTCCAAAACATAATTAGACAAGTGATTTTTTTTTTACATGTTTGCAAATCTCGCCCATGTCTGGGTTCTCCCATCTGCTTTTGCATTCAATCTTATGATGGCCCTGTAACCTCTGGAAAGGGCCACTGTCTACACCTGAGGGTGTGGGAGTGAAAGGGGTAAATGACATCTTAGCATATTAGGACAATAGTTGTGACTTTGTAAACCCTGAAAAGGGTCTCAGAAGTCCCAGACCACAGTGAAAACAGCTGGCCATTTTTAGAATTTTCCACATTGCAATTTTTCACACCAAGGGACCTCTTAGCCTTTGTTTCCCCAGAATGGGTAAGTGGAAAGATGAAAAGGGTGAGAAAGAAGTGGAAAGAAAAGAAGGAAGGAGGGGGGAGGGAGGCGTGGGAAGAAGAGGTGAAGGAAAGCAGCGAAGGAAGAGGAGGAAGAAGGGAAGTAAGAGGAAGGAGAAAGGAGGCAAGGAGAGGACAGACTGGCTACCTGCCCAGTGATGGGACATGTTGGAGACACTGAGGGCAGCCTGGCCGTGGCTGGAAGTCACAGACACCTGTGTCCCTGGCTGCAGGAGGATGGGACTGGGGCTCCCTGGGTGCCTCAGGAACCAGCTCAGGTCGGTGGCCTCCTGGCTCAGCAGAAGAGTCAGGCTCAGTGTGTCACCAGGCATCTGCAGCTGGGAGTTCAGGCTGAGGGTCCCGGGGACTGCAGGGAGGCAGGTGACAGGGGACCCTGGAGGAGGGACTCATGGCCCTCAGATGCAGCTGAGCAATCGCTCCCCCCGACTCTGGAGCCCATTCCTCCACAATCCCTCCCTAGCTTTTTAAATTTTTCTTTTTGTCCCTGGATGGGCATCTGAATGTGGCTGCTGCAATCCAGCCTGGAAGACTCTGTTATTGGAAACCAAAGAGAGAACCTTTTTGGTCTATGCCTCTCCCTCCTCCAGGCATCTTGGGGCTGCTGGAACTGCTTCCTGCCTCCTAGGGTAAAAAGCAGGGTTACTCCAGCACGTTCTCTCCTTGTCCTTATGTCTCTGGGGCCCCCCTCATTAGTCTCCCTACTCAGGTTCCAAGCTCAGGGCCTGTGATCTGCTGTGATGGCTGGCTTTTTCTCCCACCCAGAGGAGCAGCTGTGCTTGGACCAGCTGGCCAAACTACAGGTTCAGAGAGGAAAAACACACTGAGAGCATTCATTTCACTTAAGGTCATTGGTTTCCAAGTTCCCAACCTTCCTCACCAGGTGGCAGCAACTGGCAGTACCCGGGTTCAGGATGGCTGAAGACAAGGCAGCCACAAGGCTGGTGGTTCTGGGGGCTTTGACAAGGAGGGTAATGGAGGCAGATGCTGGTGTTCCACTGGTAGCCAGAGAGGCAAGCACAATAGAAATTCCCCTCGTGGTTGACATTACACTCTGTGACAGAGAGAAGGGAAGAGGGGGCGGGCAGGCTGTCTGAGGAAGCTAGGTGGGCAGGGTGAACACCTGCCTGATGCCTGAGAGGCTTTAGGGCTGGGTATCTGGACCAATCTCCAAGCTACAGGTGCCTCAGTCAGGCACATGCATCAGGACTGCCTCCTCAGTCAGCGCTTGAAGCAGCAGATGTCTCAGGGGCCAGGGAACAGGTGAAGGTGGAGGTCTGTGCCCACATTGTCTGTCCCTTGGGCCATCAGTCAAAGTTAGAAGATAGGGGATGGGGCAGGCAGGGAAGGGTCTGTCTGGTAGGGAGGGGAGGAAAGAGCTGGGCCAAGAGACAGAACCAGGCAGCCCTTCCTCCGGGAAATATAGAGGGACTCACAGCATCTCAGGCAAGTTGGCTGCAGGAGGCCCGGGAGCCCCTGTTCATTCGCTCTCAGCCCCCTTCCCATGCAAGTGGTACCTGTTGTGAGTCTGAGGCCAGTGAGAAGAGGCCTTGGGGAAGAGGAAGCTGAAGCAGCAGGGAGAGTCAGGGTCCTGGAGACTTCATGGGGCCAGGTCTTATCTGAAAAGTCCAGATGTACATAGACGGAGACCAGCGCTGATTCTACAGGAGCAGAGGGGACAGCTGGAGAGGACAGGCAGCGAGGCCACAAGCCGGTCCCCTCTGGAGTCTCTCATCTAGCTGGCCAGTCCCAGGAATGCAGAGCCGACCCCCTCCCACAGGCTGTCCAGATGCATATAGACAGGGCTCAGGAAGGGAACAAGTCCTCCCCTAGGCACGGTGGCTTCAGATACATAGCTTCACGTCATCCATCCAGCAACACCTATTTTATGGATGAGGCTCCAAAGACAATGAGTTCATCTCCAGGCCTCGCTGCTAGAGAACTGGTCAATGACCTGTCCGACTGTGATCAGAGCCAGTCCTCTCTCTCTGCCACCACTCCCTCGCTGCGCCTGCCCTCTCCTCTCCGGGTCCTGGGTTTCCACCTCATTCCCAGCCCCTATCTCCTCCCCCTCCCTCCTCCTCCTGTCCATTCACTCACCTCCTGCTCCATTCTGTTGGTCCAGGAGCTGCCCAGATCCAGATTCCCCTCCAGCCTGACTCTGTCCCTGGAATAGAACACAGAGGAGAGACCTCAAGTCCCTTCCAAAGGCACCCCAGGGGCCAGCCCGACTAGTCTCAGCCAGCACAACTCAGTCCCAACCAGCTCTTCTTTTTGCCAGGAATCAAGGGTACACATCAGGAAGGGAAAGCAGGCTTCTCTTAGTGGGTGCCAGGGATGCAACCCCAGGAACCCTGCTATCCCACCCAAGACCAGGAACCAGGAACGCCCTGGGAAGTCAACATGCTTTGTTTAATTCCTTCCTGCATTTACCTGTCCCTGGGCCTCTAGGCTAATTGAAATGGCTGGGTCTGGAGCTCCAGCAGTGGAGCTGGACAGAGTTGGCTAGGGCCCAGGCGCTTGGGGAGTTTATTCCTTCTGTAGGATTTGACAGCAGGGTGAGAAGAAGGCAGCCTCTTTCCTTTGTCTTTGGTTCCTGTACATTATTTCCTCACCAACTCCTCCTCTGACAGGGTGACGGTGGAGGTCTGGACCCACATTGTCTGTCCCTTGGGCCATCGGCCAAAGCTAGAGGATAGGGGGATGGGGCAGGCAGGGAAGGGTCTGTCTGGTAGGGAGGTGAGGAAGGAGCTGGGCCAAGGAGACAGAACCAGGCAGCCCTTCCTCCAGGAAATATGGAGGGGCTCACAGTGTCACAGACCTGAGCCCTGTCTATATGCACCTGCGTGTGCGTGTGGGTATCTACCCAAAACCAGATTTTGACACAGATACGAATATGGATAAGACATGAGTATAAGCTGGTCACAATGGCACGTGCCTTCAGTCCCAGCTACTTGGGAGGCTGAGGTGGGAGGATCACTTGAGCCCAGGAGTTCAAGTCCAGCCTGGGCAACATGGTGAGAGCATGTCTTAAAAAAGGTATAGATATAGATAGATTTAGATACAGATACAGATATATATTTACATAAAGACAGATTTAGATTTAGCAATACAGATAGATTTAGGCTTAGTGGTATATAGATGTAGACATAGGCATAGATATAGCTGTCCGTGAGGAGAACACAGATGGAAAAGCACCCTCTAGACTCTGATGTCTTTCCTCAGATTCTCTCCCATCCTCTAAGCCACTAGTTCCCAAATCTGCAAAGTTTTTCTTTTTCTTTTTAAATGGCCAGCTTGACTGGACGAGCCTTTATCCAAAATACAGCAGGTATCATAGGAGTTTACAGGGACTCAAATAAGGAAACAAGAGCTATCCCCCACACCCAGGAAAATAAAATTGAGTTCTCAGAGATCTCATAACAAAGCATCCACTTTCCTTATACATTACTTCCTCTCCCCTCAGCTCTTTCCCCACTACCTATCCTTTCATTCCACGCCTCGTCTCTCCCAACCAGAGGTCCCCATTGTCGCCTCTGCAGACCTCCCCTGGGTCTCACCCCGGTTTCACTTACAGGTTGGGATGCTTGGGCAACTGGTGACCCCAGCAGGGGAAGAGTTGTGGCCAGGAGCAGCAGAGGGGCAGCCGAACAGACCATGGCTCAGTGAAGCAGTCCCTACAAGCCCATGATGCAAATTTCTGCAAGGAAGAGCTGGCAGGGCAGTATGCAGATGGGATGGGAGGGAAGAGGGGAGGGAGCCAGGGCTGAACTTACAGAGGAAGCGCTACAGCCTGTGACTCTGAGTCAAATGGGAATCCAGGTCGCCGTGGGGGCCACCTGGAGCCCACATGCCCCCAGTGAGAATGGTGCCGAGGCTCCTCTTGGGCTCTGGACCAAAAGCTCAGAGTCTTAGGGTTTTGAAGTCACAACCAGCAACGTGTCAATAAGCCAGGTTCAGTCATGTTCCCAAAGACCTGGGAAATCTGGATTGTTCTGAACTCCTCAAAAGCTGGATCATTGATCAAAGAGTCAAGGTTAGAAATGAAAAATAAAGAAAAGATAAAAATATGAGAGCTGATTTTTACCCTAAAATAATTTCCAGATAGACTAGAATCCTCCCTCCCTCCCTTCCTTCCTTGTCTGTCCCTTGGGCCATCTGCCAAAGCTAGAAGATAGGGGGATGGGGCAGGCAGGGAAGGACTGGTCACGGACCTGTCCAACTGTGATCAGAGCAGGGGGTGAGTGGATGGACAGGAGGAGGAGGGAGGGGGAGGAGATGGGAGCTGGGAATGAGGTGGAAACCCAGGACCCGGAGAGGAGAGGGCAGGCGCAGCGAGGGAGTGGTGGCAGAGAGGACTGGCTCTGATCACAGTCGGACAGGTCCGTGACCAGTCTGTCTGTCCCTCCCTCCCTCCCTCCCTCCCTCCCTCCCTTCTTTCCTTCCTTCCCTCCCTTCTTTCTTTCTTTTTCTCTCCCTCCCTCCCTCCATCCATCCCTCTCTCTCTCTTCCTTCTTTCCTTCTCTCCCTCCTTTTTCTTTTCTTTCTCTTTCTTTCTTTCTTTCTCTTTTTCTTTTCTTTCCTTGCTCTTTCCTTCCTTTCTCTCTCTCTTTCCTTCTTTCTCTCTTGCTCCTGTCTCTCTCTTTCTTTCTTTTTCCTTCTTTTTTTTTTATGTCTCCTTCCCCTGGTGCTTGCTCTCAGTCCTGCTCCCTCCTTCCCCTCTCCTGCCTCACTCGGTCACTGCCCCACCTCCTGTTTTTTTTTTTATAAACTTCAGTGTTACCAAGGCCATCTCCTCTCGTGCCGTTGGCCCCAGGCTATAGCTAGTGGGCAAGGTTGGCAGTAGTAGTATGATCAAAGCTCATGATCATAGCTCACCATAGCCTCAAACTCTTGGGCTCAAGCTATCCTCCCACCGTAACCTCCCAAGTAGTTGAGATTACATGTGTGCACCACTGCACTGGCCTAGAGCCTTAAATGTAAAAAAGAATCTGAGAAAATACTAGAAAACATTATCAAGTTATTTCATAAAATAATTTTAAACAGAGGAAGGTTTTTTAAACAATACATAAAACTGAGAAGTCAAAAAGGAAATAAATGTGACTGTCTAAAAACTTTTAAGTTTGGCCTAAAAAGAATAATTTTCTCAACAAAGGAACTTTCTTCTAGTTTTCGTATCCATAAGATAGAAATAGGCAAAAGGTAGGAACAGACAATTCATTGAAGAAGGAATAGAAATAGTTTGATAATGGCCAGGCAGGGTGGCTCACACCTATAATCCCAGCTCTTTGGGAGGCCGAGGTGAGTGGATCACCTGAGGTCAGGAGTTCGAGACCAGCCTGCCCAACATGGTGAAACCCTGTCTCAACTAAAAATACAAAATCAGCCAGGCTTGGTGGCGCATGCCTGTAATCCCTGCTACTTAGGAGGCTGAAGCAGGAGAATTGCTTGAACCTGTGAGGAGGAGGTTGCAGTGAGCTAAAATTGCACCATTGCACTCCAACCTGGGCAACAAGAGTGAAACTCCATCTCAAAAAAATAAAAATAAAAAAGAAGCAGTTTGATAAACATATACAAACCTCTAACTTCATGCATCAGAAATACAAATCAAACAAGATACTATTTCTCACCTGCTAATTATCAAAAGAGAAAATATTAATTATATTAAGTATACTTGTACATGTGTGTAAAAACATGTACATAAGAATATTCAAGGCAGAATTGTTTGTGACAGCAAATGAGTTGATTAAACAACCAAAATGTCTATTAAAAAGGGAGAGCTTATATAAATCTTGGGATTTCCAAACAATACATTACTAAAGTTGTGTGGGAAAAGTGAAGTAGCTGTATTTTGGAGTGATCTCCAATATAGTTAGTGAAGTTTAAATATATGTTATGTGTATTATGCTCCCATGTATGTAAACAAAATGAATCTATTTAAGATGCCGGGCGCGGTGGCTCACGCCTGTAATCCCAGCTCTCAGGGAGGCAGAGGCGGGAGGATAGCTTGAGCCCAGGAGTTCGAGACCTGCCTGGGTAATATAGCGAGACCCCGTTCTCCACAAAAAGGAAAAAAAAAAAAAAAAGACGAAAAGATGCTTGTACTTGTATATCCCTAGAATATTTCTGGAAGAATACATCAGAAATCTGGCAATAGTTGTTGCTTCTGGGGAAAGGGATTAAGGGTCTGGATGGGTCTGTGTGCTGTTTCATATATAGTTTTTCTAATCATAGGCATTTTTTTTTTAAATAAAAAAAAGTTGATTTAAACACACACACAAAGTACGAAGTACCTATGGTAGAAATATAGCCCCATTGCATTTCCACCTCCACCTCCACCTCCAATCCCCCCTTGCCAGTTTTGCTGCTAATGGAAGAGCAGACACACAGAGCAAATACATGCATGGGAGCAATCACTCTTGTAAATAGCGGATTTCAGAAAACATGAAAATGGTGGAGAATCTGGTTTGAGAACCAGAGAGAGAAGTGAGAGGGAAAACACAGGTGCTGGAGGTAGGATGCTATTAGCATGCTGGGTGCTGTCTGTTACAGCTATGGGCAGTCTCAGATGGGCCAAGAGGATGTGGGACATCAACAGCATCATGCTCCACAGGGTCTGTTGAGGACCAGGAACTACACAAGTGAGAGGTGGACTGAGACCCAGAAGAGTGGCTGCTTCAGTGCCGAGGGGAGACTGAGCCATGGCAGCCCCCAGTTAGGAGAGGCAAGGACGGCCTCCAGTGGAGGGAAAGCTGTTCATCCATCAGCATGAACACTGAAGGAACAAGTAACTCCGGGGACATGAGAAAGCTAACAGAGGCCGGGTGCGGCGGCTCACACCTGTAATCCCAGCACTTTGGGAGGCCGAGGCAGGCGGATCACCTGAGGTCAGGAGTTCAGGACCAGCCTGGCCAACATGGTGAAAACCTGTCTCTACTAAAAATACAAAAAAAATTAGCCAGGGGTGGTGGTGGGCACCTGTAATCCCAGCTACTCGGGAGACTGAGGCATGAGAATTGCTTGAACCCAGGAAGTGGAGGTTGCAGTGAGCCGAGATGGCACCACTGCACTCCAGCCTGGGCAACAGAGTGAGACACCCTCTCTCTCTCTCTCTCTATTATTATTATATATATATATATATAAAAATAAAATATGTATATATATAAATCTTAGTCTTATGGACTGATCAGTTTCATGGGGAGTCAGGAAGCACCCACAGGCTGAATCAGGTCTTAGGCAGAGTGGAGTTCAAACCAACAGGGACTTATTGCTGCCACCTATGTACTCCCAAGTCCAAAGTGAACCACAAGGTGATTGTCCTTTGTCCCTCCAATATACATACTGATTTTTGGAAACTAATCAGTTTTTAACTGCTGGCAGCTTTTCTGAGCTCCTAGGTTGCTTCCTGGACACCTCTAAACACGGATTGTGAAGGCTGCTGGTAAGCAGTGCTCCCTTACTTCATTTTTATTTTTTAAAGACAGGGTCCTGTTATGTTGTTCAGGCTGGCCTCAAAGTCCTGGACCAAAGTGATTCTCCCACCTCAGCCTGCCCAAGTAGTTGGGATTACAGGCGTGAGCCACCACTGGACCTGGCCTCCATTTTTTTTTTTTTTTTTTGAGAGAGAGTCTCACTCTGTTGCCCAGGGTGGAGTACAATGGTACAATCTTGGCTCACTACAACCTCCACCTCCCAGGTTTAAGTGATTCTCCTGCCTCAGCCTCCCAAGTAGCTGGGATTACGGGCGCCCATCACCACACTGGGATAATTTTATATTTTTAGTAGAGATGGAGTTTCACCATGTTGGCCAGGCGGGTCTCAAACTCCTGGCCTCAAGAGATCCACCTGCCTCGGCCTCCCAAAGTGCTAGGATTCAGGCATGAGTCACCGCGCCCGGCCTCCATTACTTCTTATAGAAAGTAATTGCTGGGGCCAGGTGTGGTGACTCGTGCCTGTAATCCTGGCACTTTGGGAGGCTGAGGCGGGTGGATTGCTTAAGGTCCAGGAGTTCAAGGCCAGCCTGGGCAACATGACAAAACCTCAATATGGCAAAACTTCATCTCTACGAAAAATTAGCTGGGTGTGGTGGCACATGCTTGTAGTCCCAGCTACATGGGAGGCTAAGGTGGGACGATCACCTGAGCCCAGAAGGTCAGAGCCATAATGAGCTGTGATTGTGCCACTGCGCTCCAGCCTGGGCAACAGAGCCAGACCCTGTCTCAAAAAAAAAAAAAAAAAAAAAAAAAGAAAGAAAGAGAGAAAGTAACTGCTGGGGTTGCTGCATATTAGTTACCTCTATGAACTAGACATTGAATCTTGGTGTATTTTTTCTAACTTTTAGGTTCTGGGGTACAAGTGAAGGTTTGTTACATAGGTAAACTTGAGTCATGGGGGTTTGTTGTACAGATTATTTCACCACCCAGTTATTAAGCCTAGTACCCATTTAGTTATTTTCCTGATCCTCTCCCTCCACCTTCTGAAAGGCCCCAGTGTGTGTTGTTCCCCTCTATGTGTCCATGTGTTTTCATCATTTCGCTCCCACTTACAAGTGAAAATATGTGGTATTTGGTTTTCTGTTCCTGTGTTAGTTTGCTAAGGATAATGGCCTCCAGCTCCATCCATGTCCCTGCAAAAGACATGATCTCATTCTTTCTTATGGCTGCATAGTATTCCATGGTATATATGTACCACATTTTCTTTATCCAGTCTATCATCGATGGGCATTTAGGTTGATTCCATGTTTTTGCTACTATGAACAGTGCTTCAGTGAATATCCACATGCATGTGTTTTTATAAAAGAATGATTTATATACCGTTGGGTGTAGAACCAGTAATGGGATTGCTGGGTAGAATGGTATTTCTGTCTTTAGGTCTTTCAGGAATTGCCACTGTCTTCCACAATGGCTGAATTTAATTTACACTCCCGCCAACAGTGTATAAGCGTTCCTTTTTCTCCACAACCTCGCCAGCATCTGTTAATTTTTGGCTTTTTAGTAACAGCCATTCTGACTGGGATCTTGGTGTATTTGCACAAATACGATTTGGGTTCAGAGGTCATGGCACCTACTACGCGATATAGGATTTCTGCTGGGTGCTACCAAGCTGTGGCCAGTGGCGGCGGCCACATCATGGGACATGTGTAGAAAGAAGGGGAAATACACAGCTGTTCACCCAGCTGCAGCACAATTCCAGTAACGGCGAGTCAGCTAACCCTCGGCTGACGCAGAAAACTCTAATATAGAAAGAGTATGTTCAAAATTGTTTGATGCCATAAAATTACTGACCTGTGAAATATTTGACAAGAAGAGGTATTTTAACAAAAAGCTGGACGCATTATATATGTCTTTATAGGAAAAAAACGTATTTCTGACATTAAAATGTTAAAAGAAATGGTATGAAGTTATTCAGAAGGAATAATGGCAGCCTTAGATCTATAATTTAAGTATCTAACTCTGGACCTTAGAATGAGATCCCATATTTGCTCTCTGGGACTGTTCAGAAAACCCTGCTTCAGGGTTTATATTAAAACTATGTACCTCAAGAGCACAACTTGCAGAAGCTGAAGAAACTCATGGAATTTCTGATGCTTTCTTTGATTCTTACAGGATGTGGGGACTTCACAAAAGTTTCATGTTGACCTTATATAGGAATAAACCTATGGAGAGACCAGGACATTAGAGTGGAGAAGAACTGTTTCTTCTAAAGATAAAATAATTTCAAATCCTTAAGCCAGGATTTAGCCAGTCTGTGGTATTCTGTTATTGCAACACAAAACGGACTCAGAGTCCTTACAACCTAATCACCTCTTAAAGGTCTCCACCTCTCAATGCTGTGGCATTAGGGATTAAGTTTCCAACACATGAACTTTGGGGGACACATTCAAACCACAGCATGGTAGAAAAGTGGTCATGAGGTTAGGAATGGGATTAATGAGCCTTGTGATTCAAGACAACCACTTCATCTTTCAAGACCTCAGTTTTCACATCAATAAAATAGAGTTAAAATATATGGTCTTTGCAGTATTTAAAAGTGTTGTTCCATTTCTTTCCGGTTTTCATGGTTTCTAAAATAAAATCCACAGCCATATAACTCATTGATCCCCTATAAGTAATGTATCATTTTTCTTTGGCTGCTTTCAAGATTTTTTCTTTGACTTTAGTTTTTAGCAGTTATGATGTGTTTAAGGTGGGCTTTCTTTGGACTTATCCTTTATGGATTTGGTGAGCCTTTGCATCTGTAGATTTATGTCTTTCATCAGCCACTATTTCAAATTGTTTTTCTGCACTGAATTATTTCTCCTCTTCTCTGGAGCTCTAATGACTCAACTATTAGGCTTTTTCTTTCTTTTTTTTTTTGAGACGGAGTCTCATTCTGTTGCCTAGGCTGGAGTGCAGTGGTGCAATCTCTGCTCACTGCAACCTCCGCCTCCCAGGTTCAAGTGATTCTCCTGCCTCAGCCTCCCAATAGCTGGGACTACAGGCGCATGCCACCACACCCGGCTCATTTTTTTGTATTTTTAGTAGAGACGGGGTTTCACCCTGTTAGCCAAGATGGTCTCGATCTCCTGACCTCATGATCTGCCTCCCAAAGTGCTGGGATTACAGGCATGAGCTACCACGTCTGGCTGCCTTTTTAGTATTTTATCCACAGATCTCAGTGGCTCTGTTCAATTTTTCTTTTTTTTTTTTTATTATTATACTTTAAGTTCTAGGGTACATGTGCACAATGTGCAGATTTGTTACATATGTATACATGTGCCATGTTGGTTTGCTGCACCCATTAACTCGTCATTTACATTAGGTATATCTCCTAATGCTATCCCTCCCCCCACCCCACGACAGGCCCCAGTGCGTGATGTTCCCCTTCCTGTGTCCAAGTGTTCTCATTGTTCAATTCCCACCTACGAGTGAGAACATGCGGTGTTTGGTTTTCTGTTCTTGGGATAGTTTGCTGAGAATGATGGTTCCCAGCTGCACCCATGTTCCTACAAAGGACATGAACTCATCCTTTTTTATGGCTGCATAGTATTCCATGGTGTATATGTGCCACATTTCTTTCTTTTTTTTTTTTTTTTTTTTGAGACAGAGTCTCGCTTAGTCGCCCAGGCTGGAGTGCAATGGCGCGATCTCGGCTCACTGCAAGCTCCGCCTTCCGGGTTCACGCCATTCTCCTGCCTCAGCCTCCCGAGTAGCTGGGACTACAGGCGCCCGCCGCCTCGCCCGGCTAATTTTTTGCATTTTTAGTAGAGACGGGGTTTCACCGTGTTAGCCAGGATGGTCTCGATCTCCTGACCTCGTGATCCGCCCGCCTCGGCCTCCCAAAGTGCTGGGATTACAGGCGTCAGCCACCGCGCCCGGCCACATTTCTTAATTCTGTTCAGTTTTTCAATCTTTTTTTCTGTTTTTCAGATTGGATCATTTCTACTGATCTATCTTCAAGTTGACTGACTTTTTCCTCTGTCATCTCTGTTCTGCTGTTAAGCCTGGATAGACAGAATAATGACCACCCAAAGATGTCCATGTACTAATCCCTAGAACTTCTGGATATGTAAATGTATATGTCAAAAGGAATTTTGCAGATGTGATTAAATTATGAATATTGAGAAGGAGATTATCACGGATAATCTGCGTGGGCCCAATGTAATCACAAGGTCCTTGTAAAAGGGAGACAGGAATGTGAGAAACAAAAAAGCAGAGGTTGGACTGATGCAGCACTTTATTTATGTATTTATTTTTTGAGACAGGGTCTCACTCTGTTGCCCAGGCTGGAGTTCAGTGGCACAATCATGGCTCACTGCAGTCTTGACCTCATGGGCTCAAGTGAGCCTCAGCCTCCTGGGTAGCTGGGACCACAGGTGTGTGTCATCACGCTTGGCCAACTTTTATTTTTATTTTTTGTAGAGATGGGGGGTCTTGCTATGTTGCCCAGGCTGGTCTCAAACTCCTGGGCTCAAATGATCCTCCTGCTTTGGTCTCCCAAAGTTCTGGGATGAGAAGTGTGAGCCACTGTGTTCAGTGAAACTGATGCACTTCAAAGATAAAGGAAAGGGCAAGGATTGATGACAGGCTCCAGAAGTTGGAAAGAGCAAGGAAATGGATTCTTCCCTGCAGTCTCCAGAAGAAATGCAGGTCTGCTGACATCTTGATTTTACCTCTGTAAGATTCATTTCACACTTCTCATTCTCAGAACACATCACATTACATAATACATTTGTTTTGCTTTAAGTTACTACATTTGTAGCTATTTGTTATAGCAGCCATGGTAGTAATTTAATACATAGCTCATGCAATAACTTTTACATTTTTGGTTATTATATATTTCAGTTCTAAAGTTCCCATTTGGTTCTTCTTTACATTTTCTATTTCCTCCTTGAGACTTTTCTCCTTTTCTTTAGTTTTTAAAACAGTGTTCACATTTACTCATGGCACTTTTGTAATAGGTACTTTAATGTCTTTTTTAGATAATTCCAACATATTTGTCATCTCAGAATTGGTATCTGTTGATTGTTTTTTTCCATGTGAGTTGAGATTTCCAGGTTCTTCAAATGCCAGTTAATTTTGAGTTTTATCCCGGAAATTTTGAATATTATGAGACTCTGGATCTTGTTTAAAACCTGTGGGAAGTGTTAATGTTTCTTTTTTAGTAGGTAATCTACCTGGCTTGGTTCAACCACAAGTTCTCATTAACCTACTGTGGACTGTGCTTTCAACATCAATTCTCATTTCAAAACCTTTACAGTGCTATTCAGATCTTCTGCAGACGTGTGCCACCCAGTGGCCGGTCTGGAGCCTGTGTGATGGATGGTCTATCTCTTGGTGCAGTTGTGCTGGTGGTTTGTGGTTTAGGGTCAGATCCACGCAACGTACAACTGGGAAGTGATCCCAGGAGCTCATAAAACGATATGGGGTCATCTTCTTGTCCTTTCTGGTCATTCTGATACTTTCTGGTTCCCTGGGGCTCCTCTTTTTGGTTCTCTGGCCAGAAATCCAGGGCTTTATTTCCCTGCTCTACGATGCACTTCCTGTATCTGTTCACAGGTGGGGCCTTGCAGCAGAGAGAAAAAGCAATGGAGGTTTGCCTTGCCCTCTTAGCACCATACATTCTGATCAGAGGAAGTTCCTCTCCCTCAGAGTTCTAGGCTCCTGCAGATCCTCACTGCCACTGCTGCCATGCGATTGTTTAGAGGCTGGGTGTGAAAGAACAAAGAAAAAAGAAAAAAAAAAAAAGGTGGAATTTCCTCCACTCTCTCTGAGTGTTAGGGTCTTCCTTCCCTCTCCTTGAGCCAGACCTAGGGGGTTTCTTCTGTAGTTCTGTCTATCTGTGCAATTGCACATTTATGGGTTTGGGATTGCCTTGAGTTCAGGCCAGTGCATACCTGAAGAAAAAATGTGAAGCTCACCACCAGTTCAGTGGTATTTTGAATTCTGTACTTCTTCCCCAGTCCACCTGCTACTGTTTACTTTCTAGAGTCCTCAAGTATCAGTTCTGTGCAATCTTTCCAGGTGTATAGCTTCACTCAGTGGGAGAGACAGGGTGGAGGATGCTTACTCCATCTTTCCTAGAACTGGGCCCCTGCATCTCACAATTTTGGTATGTATTTTTATTATCATTTCATTCAAAATATTTTCTGATTTCCCTTTTGATTTCTTCTTTGTTGGCTACTTAGAAGTGTTATGTCTTAATTTCTAAACAAAAGAAATTATCTGGTTATATTTTTGTCCCTGCTTTTAGCTTGATTACATTCTTGTCAGAGAAGATAATCATTACGATGATCAATCTTTAATATTTTTTGAGGTTAGTTTTATGGGCCAGCATATGGTCAGCTTTTGTAAGTGCTCTGTATGTAATAAAAAAGTATGTGTGGCCGGGTGCGGTGGCTCACACCTGTAATCACTTTAGGAGGCCAAGGCAGGTGGATCACCTGAGGGGAGGGGTTTGAGACCAGCCTGGCGGGCCAACATGGTGAAACCTTGTCTCTACTAAAAACACAAAAATTACCTGGGCATGGTGGTGTGCACCTGTAATCCCAGCTACTCGGGAGGCTGAGTCAGGAGAATGGTTTGAACTCAGAGGCAGAGGTTGCAGTGAGCCGAGATCGCATCACTTCACTCCAGCCTGGGTGAAAGAGCAAAACTCCATCTCAAAAAAAAAAACAAACAAAAAAACCAAAGTATGTGTATTCTGAGCCGAGCACGGTGGTGTGTACCCATAGTCCCAGCTACTTGGGAGGCTGAGGTGGGAGAATCACCTGAGCCCAAGAGTGTGAGCTGCGGTGAGCTATGATTGTACCACTGTACTCCTGCCTGGGTGCAGAGTGAGACCAATCTCTAAAACACAAAAAACAAAAGGCAAAAACAAAACAAAAGAAACAAACAAAAAACTTTTAGATATCTGTTATAAATAGTATGTATTTTGGTTTACTTTTATTCTTTTAATCAGTTATGACTACCTTTACCTTTATCAAATCATTTATGCTATTTATAGTCAATTATAATTACTGATAAGTTTAAACTTGTCTTACTGTTTTCTATGTAGTCCACTTTTTCTTCTCCTTTTTTCTCCCTTATTTCCCTCTTTTGAGTTAATTTCTTTTTATAATTATCTCATTTGAACTCCTCCCCCATTAGCTTTTAGTTACACATATTTTTACTACTTATTTAGAAAGTTTCTTTAGGGATGATAAAATGCATCTTTGACATCTCAACTCTAACTTCTTTTATTCCCCAAACTTCTACACTGGAATGTGTTAAAATAGAAATCTGTTCAGTAGTTGGGTAAACGAGTTTGCCTTATGAGGGGACAGACATTTTAGACACTGGGAACCACAACAACAAAGTACACAGGTATGATGCAGATTGTTGTGAGGTCAGAGAACTACAGTACTGCAGTTTGGGATCATTGCTGCCAGAGGTGTGAATAAAAATGGAAGTGGAATTAGATTATAAAGGCTATCCAGACTGGAAAGCAGGATGGGAAGCCAACAAACTAGAAAGCAACTACTTGAAAAGAAATAGCACAAAACAAAAAGTGATGAATACAAAATTAGGCCAGGCATGGTGACTCACACCTGTAATTCCAGCACTTTGGGAGGCAAGGTGGGTGGGTCCCATAAGCTCAGAAGTTCAAGACCAGCCTGGGCAACATGGTGAAACCCCATCTCTACAAAAAATAGAAAAACTAGCTGGGTGTAGTGGTGTGCGCCTGTAGTCCCAGCTACTTGGGAGGCTGAGGTGGGAGGATCACCTGAGCCCAGGAGGTCAAGGCTGCAGTGAGCCGTGATCATGCCATTGCTCTCCAGCCTGGACAACAGAGTGAGAGTCTGTCTCAAAAAATATATACATACATATATATATATTTTTTCAAACTTTATGTTAATATTTTTTGTTTTTGCAGAGACAGGGTCTCACTATGAAACTCCTGGCCTCAAGCAATCCTCCCACCTCAGCCTCCCAAAGTGCTGGGATTATAGGCACTAGCCTCCATGCCTAGCCCTCAAACTTCAAAGACTAAGAAAGTTTTAAATGTTGTATTATAACTGTATTGTTTGCTTATTTATTTCTCCAACAAGATAAACTGAAAGTTAATTCAAACTTGAATGCCTAAGGAACCACAGGTATCCATTAACACTCCCTCCTCTCCTAGGAAAATACTTCCTTCCAGGTTTTCCCTAAATCTTCCACCTCCTTAATATTTGTAACCAGTGAAATACTTCCTAGACTTATTGCCTCTACTCCAGAACCATTCACAGTGCTCTTTGGAAAGCATGTTTTATTGTAAGCAAGATTATTTCCAGTATCACATTTTTCTTAGAACACTCAAGTTAATCCCTTATAAATATCCTTTGATTAGAAAGCAAGATGGGCTCCTTGAGTCCAGTTGGTATTACGATGTAAGTGGAGGCTATTTGATGGGTCACAATTGCTGAACATAAGAGAATTGATCATACAATACCTAGGCCATATAAAAATGAGATTGGGTACCAACCTCTCTCCTTAAATCTGGGATAGGATCAGTTTGGACTTTTATCTCCGAACTAAAGAATAAATCCCACCGGCCAGGCACAATGGTTCAACCCTATAATCCCAGCACTTTGGGAGGCTGAGGTGGGTGGACTGCCTGAGCTCAGGAGTTCGTGACCAGCATGGGCAACACCATGACACCCCATCTCTATTAAAATATAAAAAATTAGCCAGGCATGGTGGCATGCACCTTTAGTCTCATCTACTTGGGAGGGAGGAGAATCGTTTGAACCTGGAAGGTGAAGGTTGCAGTGAGCTGAGATTGCGCCACTGTACTCCAGCCTGGGGGACAGAGTGAGACTATGTCTCAAAAATAAAATAAAAATAAATAAATAAATAAATAAATAAATAAATAAATTCCAACAAATAGGAGTTTTCAGTCAAACTTTGATTTTAGATTATCAAAGCAATGCAGGCTTGTCAAAAAAACTAAAACAATTGAGACATCTGTCATTCAGAAACCAAAAATACTTATGGCTCCCTTTTTAATCAAGAAATGAACCAAAGTATATACTTTGCCTATCAGTTGTTTACTTAAAAAGTGTTATGTTTCGGCTGGGCGCGGTAGCTCACGCCTGTAATCCCAGCACTTTGGGAGGCCGAGGTGGGCAGATCACTAGGTCAGGAGATCTAGACCATCCTGGCTAACACGGTGAAACTCCGTCTTTACTAAAAATACAAAAAAATTAGCCAGGCATGGTGGCGGGCGCCTGTAGTCCCAGCTACTTGGGAGGCTGAGGCAGCAGAATGGCGAACCTGGGAGGCAGAGCTTCCAGTGAGCCGAGATTGCACTACTGCACTCCAGCCTGGGCGACACAGTGAGACTCCGTCTCAAAAAAAAAAAAAAAGTGTTACATTTCTTGTTCTTATTATTAAAGATCAAATAACCAGAACTATTCACATTGTTCACACACACACAAAAGAAATATACAAAGATTTTTTTAACCTGAATATCATTCGCTGATTGTTTTTTTTCTTGAGAACCTGTGAATTAAAAATAAATAAATAAATAAATTTAGGCCAAACACAGTAGCTCATGCCTGTAATCCCAGCACTTTGGGAGGCCGAGGTAGATAGATCACCTGAGGTCAGGAGTTTGAGACCAGCCTGGCCAACATGGTGAAACCCTGTCTCTACTAAAAATACAAAAATTAACTGGGCGTGGGGGCACGTCCCTGTAATTCCAGCTACTCAGGAGGCTGAGGCAGGAGAATCGCTTGAACCCAGGAGGTGGAGGTTGCAGTGAGCCAAGATTGTGCTACTGCACTCCAGCCTGGGCGACAGAGTGAGACTCCATCTCAAAAAAAAAAAAATTTTTTTTTAAATAAATGTATTAAAGAATGACTCCAGAAGTGGAAATAACCCGACACTCATCAGTAGTGGAATGGATAAATAAACTGTAGATAGGTATGCAATCTACTACCATACAGAAACATAAATGAATGAACTGGGGCTATATGCATCAATATCAAAACAATGTAGAGTGCAAAAAATGTCCTAAGAGGTTAGAAACAGTGGGATGCCATTTAAGTAAATCACATATACACACGCAAGCACAAAAATAATACTATTTTGAATCCATATATGAACACACATAATAGCAGTTAAAAAATATAAATGTAAATGACAAACAAGTTAAAAAAAGAGGTTAACCCCAGGAGAAAAGGAACAGGATGGTGAAGAGCTGCAGCTATACGTGAAATATATAAAAAAATAAAAACCTGGCCGGGCGCGGTGGCTCAAGCCTGTAATCCCAGCACTTTGGGAGGCCGAGGCTGGCGGATCAGGAGGTCAGGAGATTGAGACCATCCTGGCTGACACGGTGAAACCTCGTCTCTACTAAAAAAAATACAAAGAAATTAGCCAGGTGTGGTGGCGGGCGCCTGTAGTCCCAGCTACTCGGGAGGCTGAGACAGGAGAATGGCATGAACCAGGGAGGCGGAGCTTGCAGTGAACCGAGATCGCGCCACTGCATTCCAGCCTGGGTGACAGAGCGAGACTCCATCTCAAAAAAAAAATAAAAATAAATAAAAAATAAAAATAAAAATAAATAAATAAAAAGCTCTGGCGCACATATGGTGAAAGGTTAACGTCTGTTATTTCCTGGTGGTATATGAACATCAAACATATTACTTTCTATATGTTATAGTTGAGATAAAGAATGATGATCATGATGATAAATAAAGAGGGATTAGGAACCTTTCTATTCATGGGCTATGCCTGATCTGAATTCATAAGAGAGCATTTGATTCACCCTTATGCGTTTTCTACTAACAGATAGATTTATGGATACAACATGTAATATACCTTTAAAGGCACAGATACATACATGTCTTTTTTTTCAATTGGAAACATTTTAAATATTTTAAGACAAAAAATGAGCATGGACTTTTTTTTTTTTTTTTTTTTTAAATAAACACATATATACATGTCTAATGGCCAAAGTGCATTAAGGAAATGAGCTCCTGATCTGTCCTCCACAGTCCTCATCCTGTGGTTGAACCTTTTGCAGGCCCTCCCTCTGTCGCTCCAACCCACTAGGAAGAGATAGTGGCTGCTTTACACCACAGCCATAAGGCGTTTTGACAGCATGGAGGGCACTGCTGAAGTTGGGAGTCTTTCTGTGAGATAAAGGAGAGAGACTTCTCCCCACCAAGTTTAGGTAGATCAATGTGTTGAAGTTTAAAACAAAAATAAAAATAATTCACATAATCAGCACTTCAAATAATACTGAATTTCAGATTTCCCACCAAGAGAGCTCAAATAGAGTAGTAACAATCTAGATCTTTCCATTCCTCCTGACAGCAAGCTTAGGCCCTAGAAGTATCTGCTGCAACTGCAACTGTTGCCTTGGTTCCATTTGTGACCTTTCAGGTTCAAAGGTAACAGGAAGAACCAGGGTCATAAAGGAAGTGGGCCCAATCTGCAAGGCTGTGTTGGAAAACCTGTACATTTTTTGACCTATGAAGAGGGAGAGGTTAAAAGTGGCTCTGGCCAGGGACCAAACCCTCTCCAGGAACGTGTCTGTTAGACCCCACAGTCTCTCCAACAGGGTCTCATCTAGCTCCTGTTGTCAACCTCTTTCAGCTCCTCCTCAGGTTTCTCAGAGGCAACTTTCAGAAGAAAACTTGCGTTCTGGGATAAACTCTTGTTTTCTGTACTCACACAGAACTTCTGGTGACCAAATATGTGGGGTTTTCCCACACCAAGGAATCCTCCATTACTTGGTGGACACTGCTGGGTGTCCTACAATTTAATTCAATACTGATGCTGTCTAGTTTGTGTGAGATCTTACAGGTTAAGGGCTCAGTCTCACAGGACTGCCCCCCGCTGCCCAGTTCAGACACCAGTTTGCAAGTCCAGTATGTCACCTGTGCTTCTCTGATTGGCCAGTTATAAAACCCACGACCCCCGCCTCAGATTCAATAACTGGTTAGAACAGCTCACGGAACTCAGAAATAACAGTTTACTTAGTAGATTACTGGTTTGTTATAAAAGGATACAACTCAGGAACAGCCAGACGGGAGGTAGCACAGGGCAAGGTACTCAGGAAGAGGTGCAGAGCTTCCATGCCTGCTCCAGGCACACCACCCTCCCAGCATCTCCACATGTTCACCAACTTGGAAGCTTTCTGAACTCCTGTACATTAGGGAGTTGTTTGGAGGCTTCCTCATGCAGGCATGATTGATTATTAATTCAATCTCCAGCTCCTTTCCCCTCCTAGGAGGGTGGGGAGCAGGGTGGAAAGTTCCTAGCCTCTAAGCACATGGTTGGTTCCCCTGGCAACCATCCTGAGGTTATCCAGGAGCCCCCAGCTACTAGTCATCTCTTTAGCATGCAGAAAGACCTTACATTTTGAAGACTCCTAAACAGGGGGAGAGAACAAATATATATTTCTTATGATGTCACAGGAAGCGATTCCTCCTGGGACAGGAGCACCCCAGTGTCAGAGAAGCAGATGTGGCAACCAATGGTTATAGGGATCCCCAGCCACAGATGCCTTCTCTTAGCAGACAATCATTTATTCTAATACATACCTAGGTTTTCCAACACAAAAGTTTTTACTTCTAGCATAAAATAAAATTTAAAGGGCCGTACCTGTACAAGAATAGGATTTCATAAAATGTAATTTATTTACTATTTTTTTTCAAGACATAGTCTTGCTCTGTTGCCCAGGCTGAAGTGCAGAGCACAATCTTGGCTCACTGCAACCTCTGCCTCCCAGGTTCAAGCAATTCTGTCTCAGCCTCCTGAGTACTGGGATTACAGGCACATGCCACCATGCCTGGCTACTTTTTTTTTTTTTTGTATTTTTAGTAGAGACGGGGTTTCACCATGTTGGCCAGGCTGGTCTCGAACTCCTGTCCTCAAGTGATCTGCTCGCCTCAGCCTCCCAAAGTGCTGAGATTACAGGCGTGAGCCCCTGAGCCTTGCCAAAATTTAAAGGGCTGTACCTGTACAAGGATAGGATTTTTAAAATCACCTTTAGTAGTTAGCCAGGCTCAGCAGCACACACCTATAGTCCCCGCTACTTGGGAGGCTAAGGCAGCAGGATCACTTGAGTCCAGGAGTTCAAGGCCAGCCTAGGCAAGACAGCAAGCTATCATCTCAAAAAAAAAAAAGGTAAATTTAAAAAAACCACCCACAATGCTTTATCCTAATTTTCCCTGTGGTTTTTGAGCTATTTTCTTATTTGTAAGCCTTACTTCTTTGTAGCAATTTGGACTTTAGAGTACCTCTTAATGCCTTCATTCTTTATTTTAAATTCCTTTAGAAAAGCTGTTAATTCACGTCCTCCTGGTTACTTTCTCCTGATTGCTTTCAAGAGAAAACTAGCTGGTGGCTACAAGGACTTGCTTCTCAAAATACCCCTTTAGCCTCTTGCATTCCTATACTCATGCCATGCCAAAACCAGGAAGAGAAATCTTTTTTTTTTTTTTTTTTTTTGAGACGGAGTCTCGCTCTGTTGCCCAGGCTGGAGTGCAGTGGCGCGATCTTGGCTCACTGCAAGTTCCGCCTCCCGGGTTCACGCCATTCTCCTGCCTCAGCCTCCCGAGTAGCTGGGACTACAGGCGCCGACAACCGCGCCCGGCTAATTTTTTGTATTTTTAGTAGAGACGGGGTTTCACCGTGGTCTCGATCTCCTGACCTTGTGATCCGCCCGCCTCGGCCTCCCAAAGCGCTGGGATTACAGGCGTGAGCCACCGCGCCCGGCCGAGAAATCTTATATGGGTAATTTGTTGATCTTCACATTGAGTCCCTTTGATCATCTCCCCACCAATAAAACACAGGTTATCCCAACAAGCACTCTATTAACGCAATGACTTGTCCTCTCCTACTTTATATTATAAAACTACAGAACCTACAGTTACCTTATCATGTAGAACTTTATAGGTCTATATTTTAGCTTTGCATAATTTGCAATAATGTTCTGGCAGATATGCCTGTAAAAGTACTAAATTTTAAGCAACTTTATCTACAATGATAAAATGCCTACAAATTAAAAACAGCCAATTCATGATATCCTCTGTCTTTTCCCCAGTTATCAACACATTTTTAGTTCTAACAAGTATGCATATGTTATTTTGTGCTTTGCTTTTTTCCTCCCTCATGATATGCTTTTCTTTTTAATATAACATTAATAATCAATTTCTCCTTCTGAAAAATTAAGATAAAATTCACCATTTTAAAGAGTACACTTTGCCGGGCGCGGTGGCTCAAGCCTGTAATCCCAGCACTTTGGGAGGCCGAGATGGGCGGATCACTAGGTCAGGAGATCGAGACCATCCTGGCTAACACGGTGAAACCCCGTCTCTACTAAAAAAATACAAAAAACTAGCCGGGCGAGGTGGCGGGCGCCTGTAGTCCCAGCTACTCAGGAGGCTGAGACAGGAGAATGGCCCGAACCCGGGAGGCGGAGCTTGCAGTGAGCTGAGATCCGGCCACTGCACTCCAGCCTGGGCGACAGAGCGAGACTCCGTCTC